TTCTTCAATGAGAAGCTAATGCTCCTACCTCCATTTAGAAACTTATCGATCGCACGTGCAACTACTTGAATGGTATCGTAGGCACTAAGAGCATGGACATTCATCGAAGAATTTCTCGAGTCTTCTGGCAGCATCTTCCTTAAACGAGACCATAATGTTGTTTTTTGGCTGGATTCAGGCGTATATTGACGAAGTACAACCACTCCTTGAAGGATGTTTAGAGAGGTTTGGTGTACGGGCAGAATAGAATCTAAGGTAGAAGAAAGCCAATCTGTTGCCAGCCACACATAATCACTTGTCATCATATCAAGTTGATGGGCTATTTTGAAGATGCTTAATCTAGGATCAGGATTAACATGAACAACATAGACTCGAGGACCGAGCAACTTGGATTTATTGAGCATGTCTGTGATTTCACTGAGATTCAACTGAGAAGGTAAGGGTAGTTTGTAAGAAACTTTAAACATCTTCTTGTCAAGTTCATCAGTTAAAGTGGACATTCCATTTCTTCCATAATCATCATCCACAAAGATAATGATCACTTCCTTCCACTCATAAAAGTCAATTAATTCTGCCATGGCAGTCATTTGATAGGCATCACTCTGAGTAGTCCGTAGGAAAAAGGGGAATTGGAGGGCAGATAAAGTTGGATCAGTGGCAGCGTATGATATAAGTGGCACTTGGAGATGATTAGCAATCTGTAGAACCATATGAGCTACAACTGAAGATTGAGGCCCAACTATGGCTACTACGTCTTTCTCAAGAACCTGGAAAGCTGTTGCACAAGGGGCAGAAGTCAGAAAGTGTGACATAAATCACGTAGACATCAAGACACTTCAATAGAGAATGAAAAGTACAATATTAAACTTTAGTGCCATATATTCAAAATAGCAGACAGCATCAAGAATGAAGGAGTTTAATTTTCTCATTCACATGTGATGCGTGTGAGATCCCACATCGGTTGGGGAGGAGAATGAAGCAATATTTATAAGGGTGTGCCTCCCTAGTGTCACGGTCATGCTCGTCCAGGGCGTGTTGCCCATGGCCGCATGCCCATGACAAGCCAAACCCTTGGCATGTCTTTTCATTCTAGTGTTTTTCCTTTGTAATTCTAGGGCGTATGACACCTCAAAAATATCATGTCTAGGCCTGCCCGACATAAAATGGCTCAGAATGTACTATAGGGGTATATGACTAGTTGTCAACTTCTCCCTACCCAAGGTTATATATGCTAAGCCGTTGTTATCTTTTTCTTGCTTGCTTATATAACGTCTTTTTCCAAAATCTCTCTTTCTAAAATCTCTCTCTCTCCTCGTTTTCTAAAACCTTCTTTTAAAATCGAGGCTAGAGGCTCGACCGTATGTCGCTTGGCCGTAGGCGACGCAAGAACAAATTGGCTTAGCTCACTTGTCGCTGGAAAGTGAGTGCCGCACAATCGCTAGTCCGCTGCCTTCGAAAGTGCGATTGTGTCACCTAGCATACACGTTTTAAAAAGCTTGAGGGAAAGCCCGAAAGAGAAAGCCCAAAGAGGACATATCTGCTAGCGGTGAGCTTGGGCCATTACAAATGGTATCAGAGCTAGACACCGAGCGATGTGTCAGCGAGGAGACTGAGTCCCGAAGGGGGGTGGACACAAGGCAGTGTGCCAGCAAGGACACTAGGCCCCAGAGGGGGGGGTGAATTGGAGAGTCCCACATCGATTGGAGAAAGGAACGGGTGCCAGCAAAAATGCTGGGCCCTGAAGAGGGTGGATTGTGAGATCCCACATCGGTTGGGGAAGAGAACAGAACATTCTTTATAAGGGTGTGGAAACCACTTCCTAGTAGACATGTTTTAAAAACTTTGAGGGGAAGCCCGAAAGGGAAAACCCAAAGAGGACAATATCAGCTAGCAGTGGGCTTAGGCCATTACAATGCAAGTCCCGAGTAAAAGAGGGGTACATGAATGATTGTGACCATATTTGAATGAAAGCAATTCTAAGAATATGATGGTTAAGAAAAACTTGAAAGAATTGAAAGTTACTATCTACACAAATAAGATGCACATGCCATGCATTACATGCATTACATATGAGTAATGAGGCATGGTAATATTATGATCATGCAATTTCATCCTAATAACAATCAAAGACATGATGTTGGGATAACACTAACAGAGCCATTTCCAAAATTTCTTACATACTATGAAAGAAATATGTGTACAGAGATGTACCTCGAATAGAACCCAAGAGAACATTGCAATGTGTATCTGCCATGATCAAATTTAGCCTTGTTCCATTGAGAATGGAAGGATCTGCATTCACATCCGAAACTGCAGCTTCCATTGCCACCTTCGCCGCTCTTCCTATAATGGAATCAAAAGTGAAAACTGCACCAATGTTCACAACCGCGGGCCTTTGGCAACATGCAGAACCAGCAAGAAATACCCATATCGAACTAATCAGTGTAAGAACTAATAGGCTCTCCATGAGTTAACAATCTTAATCTACCGGAAGACTCAAAACTTGGTGATTCAAGCTTTCACGAGCTGGAGACAAGAGCTTTTGGTGATAACCAGGAAAACTTTAAATGGAGAGAGGGAGCTCAAGAACACAGAACACAGAAGAACAAGCATTCTACCTAAAAGTTTCAGTACAGAATTATCTACTAACAATTATTGTATAGAGCTCCTAATGAACATAAAATCGTTAATAGTAAACTGTGAGCAGAAAAAACATGTAGGTCAGGAATAAGTACAAAGGAAGGCAAGAAGAACAAGTCATGGGGGATTGGCACGCCTTATCAGAGGGAATTATTCGAGTCCCATTGACAGTAAAAGAAACATGTCATCGTATCTTTATACGATAAGCAGAGCTAAAGAATGCTTTTACTCGGAGAGGATTCTTAGCCAAAACGAGACCCTGTTGCCAATTAATGCACGCATCCGATTTGACGCCCAAAAGCTGTTCAACAACATGGTGCTGGTTGCGCCGATGAGTCCATCAATCACTGTTGACCGATGCTTACAACTACGAGCAGTTCTCCGACAATGTTCACCAAACCACAACTGTTACGGAACAGACTAAACAACTGCATGTTCATAGCGAGCTGACCCAAAATTTCTCTCCCCTTACTGATTTCTTGTCAAAGCGGAGAATCGCTGAACCGTAGAGTTTTTTTCCTCGTGAGCCATTGAACCACACTTCAGTCACTGAATTAAACTGAAACAATATATTACATAGAATTACAAATTCGACATTGAAACGGAACCTTACAGTGATTCAGAGAAATAAGAATCACGAGACTTACAGAATCGCGTAGCGACAGTAGGAGGACCATTCGCATCGTTTCCAACTGGGTAAGAATGAATTGACTACACCAATCAATTTCTGGTTCGATGAGGAAAATGGGTTTCATGAACTTCTTTAAAAACACGAGTTGATTGTACAATTAAATAGAGGAAACTATGACAAGAAGGAAGAAAATGGTGATTAGAAACAAGTGAATCGACAGTCCGACACCACAGAATGCTTACCTCCAAACCCTTCTTATGATTTCTATTGCTTTTGGCGAGCTTTTAACAATGGCTTCTTCAAATCCATTGCTCTTCCTTAGCCAGGTCCACCTTCTCAGCATCTGTAAGTTACTCCCTTCTGGCAAAGAACAAAATCTACACATAAACATGAAAATGATCGCAACATCGGTGGTTTAATTTAGTTTAAATCGCTGTTTAACTTTTACAAACATTTAAGCGGTTGCGAGTACAAAAGTAGAAGTCTACTTAAGAAAATGGTAAAGATCGGACCTTTTTGTCTTATAACAAGATTCAAAAGTTCACAAGCGGCATTATAGTATGTAGCTAAAATGTTTCTCCTATTTGCAAATGTAGAAACAGCTGCTAAGTTCTGCACATAGAGTAAAATATTTTAAATCTTTATCCACTCTGATTCTTCGTAAAATAACAAAAATTCTTCTTCAATTCTCTTCCAGCGAAAGCGCCACCATCTTCTTCAATTCTTTTTTCTATCCATTAGGCATAATGAGGCCATCCTCTCCCGTATCTCGTTCCACCCTTGATCCTCCAATGGATCCTGTTATCCTTTGATTACGTCTGCACCCCATTCCCCACGACAAAAGCTGACTACTCTCTCTGATTATTGTGTCAAATTTCGGTGGCTTTTAGAGTCGAGAATTTCTGTAGTTATATTTGATGTTTGGTTTGTTAACTTCATTTGTATTTTAATTAATTTTCTAATTTAGCTTTGAAGATGAAACCAATTTCATCCCTTATTTTAAATTTAGAGTTTAATCTCATCCTCCCTCCTTTCACTCCCCACTCCCACTCACCTAAGCTCACTCTGGTTTAACATTTTTATCACATTTGACTTTTGATTATAAGCTCATTTTCATATATAATTAACTTCCATTACAATTTATTATAGGTATCATATTTAACGTTGATCAGAGGATAATATAGTACTATTTTTTTTCTGATCTATTTAAATGAAAATTTTAGAGATTAAATCAAAAACTATTTCTAAGTTTTAATACAGCATCTTTGACAGAAATTTAAAACTAAATTTTGTTTCAAATCCATATATTTCTTAATTTCTTTGTTCCTAATTCAACTTACTCCAATCTTCCGAAATACCCATACGTAGAACAACATATGTACCGAAAGAAATTACTAAAAATTTGTTCTAAAATTGTTAAAAAGTTATGTAAGTTCTAGCATACTCTTGACTCCCTTTCTACTTGCTAGCTCTCGTCCAAATAGCCATGAAACTTTTATTTGAGAAAATAAGGAATTCTGTTACCTCCAAGGGACGGTGAAGTCCTGCAAATCTTGGCAGACGATGTAGAAAACCAAATATCAGCTGGCCGTAATGATAAAATCAACATCTATGGTATTATAATCACTTGAAGAGGATATGCTGATGTACATTGTTTGGTGCTATAGCATACATGCTTCGGAGTATGAAATCTTTGGATAGGGAAACAATACCTAAGAGCTGGAGCTAGCTTCCTGCTCTGCGTCATCATGGACCTCAGAGGTTGATTTCTGCGATTCTGTTGGCATTTCAATTTCAGCTTCAGCGCCCGAACAGCAATTCTGTAAGCCAGGAGATCTTAGTGAGAAGAGAGATAGGGACAATAGATAATAAATGGAACCATATGGTGGTGTTCAAAGGGAAGCCGAAGGAGTGAAAGAAGAGATGGAGTGGGAACGCGTTACGAGATTCTTCGTGTATGCTTCAAGAGATATCTCATGCTCTGCCTTCCTTTCTCAAAACTTTTTCAGCGCAAGGAGCTTTTTCCTGAGGAAGAAACACAAGTGCCAGCAGACTCGTATAGTCAATAACTCTGATCTAGTAGCGAAGTGAATACAGAGAGCAAAACATGAAACGATCTTCATATAAATTAGAACAACCAACCTCAAATCTTATAGCTTAATCATTTATTGTTAAGGCTGCTATTAATTATTTAGCCTCGAATTAGTTTTCAATGGAAATAGCATGAAAATAGGAGATTCATGATCTTACAGCATCAGAAAGTGACTTCCATTTCTCACCGCCAGCTTTGCCAACGTGCAAAATAACAAAACACAGTTAACCACAAATAACAAATCTAGCCAACTCGAGAAGTCTTCTGATCCTCCACTCAGTCATATCTAAACATAAATGGAGGCATAAAAAGAAAGCATGCTGATTAAAAGTAACAGTATAAGATCTCACTGCTGGACCAGCTTTTCCATCAGGAAACTTCTCCTTGAACGTCTTCCTGAATTCCTCCCTATCATTTGCCAAGACAAGAATGGAAATCAGAACGGACCAATATAATGTAAGCTAGAATGTAAAGGAAGGTTTTCAGAGTGAAGCAGACTCTTTAGAGCACTAGAGTTAAATTATAAACTGTACTTACATGAAAATGAAGAAGACTGTAGCTGGACGTTTTGGAGCATTTTGATCTTTCTTCATTCCTTTGTTGATTTTCGTGGATTTCATCTCAGATTTTTTCTGCTTCAGCATATCCTTCGGAAAGCGGAACGATCGTAAAATCATGTATGTATCAAAAAAAAAAAAAAAAAAAAAAA